TGCTTACTAACTCTCCTCTCAGTCTTATGATATAAACTCTGATTCTTTTTTTAAAAAATTTTTTAGGCAATTGGGGTTAAGTGACTCGCCCAGGGTCACACAGCTAGTAAGTGTCAAGTGTTTGGTCTGAGGCTGGGTTTGAATCAGGTCCTCCTGTCTTCAAGACCAGTGCTCTATCCACTACCCCACCTAGCTGCCCCTATAAACTGTGATTCTAAGCTATACATTTGAAACCTGCCATCTTGTATCTGCCAAGGATTGCCCGTATCAGTAATTTTTTTTTCCAGAAGATTTTTTTTAATGTTCTATTCCTTTTCTTCCTGGTACTGATAATTGTGTTTTAATCTCTCATGGGTTATGTACTGACCTGATACCAGTTGTTTGCTATTCCAACCCCCTGCCAAGCAGATAGATGTGGTAGCCAGGGGCAACACAATTTAGATCATAAGCTCATTTTAAAAAACATACACACAGAGTAACTAGCAAAGAGTAAGAGCAATATTAACTCAGAAAAATTGAAAAAGCAGTGGAAAGGAATATGAACCTGTAAAAGGCTTGGGGTGATACCTAACTGATACTGGTCATCCCAAGAACGTTCATAGATGAAACTAGGACAACACATATACATGAGATACATGTAATAGATAGATAGGCCATTATTTCTATGGAAATCTATCTTTATCATTAATGACAGTGAGAGACTACAACATTTGGATTCTGTAATACAACAGTATCTGGTGGGCTACTGGAAGAAGTTAAAATTACCTCGGAAAAAGCAGAGGGATACAACATAACTTTAAAGTCACTTAGAGATAGATTTTTCAAGACATTTTGAAAAGGAGAAGATTCCAAACAATGAGTATTGTCGTGGACATTAATACCATCAAGAAAAGACATCAGCAATTACTGACCCAAATACCAATTTTCTTATCTCTATAAATATATATTTTTTGGCAAGACAGTTGGAGTTAAGTGACTTGCCCAGGGTCACACTGCTAGTAAGTGTCAAATGTTTGAGGCTGTATTTGAACTCAAGTCCTTCTGACTCCAGGGCTGGTGCTCTATCCACTGTGCCATCGACTTGCCCCTCTCTACAAATACTTATAAGGATGGTCCATATATTCTTGATGAAAGCAAGAGAAGAAAAGAGGTAAACTTTGAGAGATTATTTTCTATAATAGAGCATATTTTCATAGACAAGTGAGAGATAAAGTTGAAGATCCATCATTGTTTATTATTTATTAACTACATATATACAAATATATAATATATACATTATATATTCAAGATCCCTGCTCAAAAGAGAGCTTATATGCTAATGGAGGAGACAGGAACATATCCAGATACACAGGTATATCTACATATATGTCCTTGTTTTCTCCCCCATTAGAATATAAGTTTCTTGTAAACAGAGATTGTTGCATTTATTGAATTTGTGCTCCTAGCACCTAGCACAATGTCTGACCCATAGGAGGTACTTAATAAATGTTGCATGATTGATGGATTAGTTGTTTCTGCTTTATTTGATGTAGATTCTCATAATATGGTTAAACAATGTTACTTCAGTGGTAGTATCCACCAAGGGATCTTGAGGAAGCCTTACTAATGAGAAATGTCTTGCTGGAGGATAACCTTTATGGTTGTATTTCGCCCTACCACATCAAATGATTTAATTATTCAATCAATAGATATCTATTAAGTGTGGTGGCATAATAGATAGAGTGCTAGGCCTGGAGTCAGGAACACCCGAGTTTAAATCTAGCCTTAGACGCTTACTAGCTATATGACTCTGGGCAAGTTGTTTAACCCTGTTTGCCTCAGTTTCCTCATCTGTAAAAATGAGTAGGAGAGGGAAATGGCAAATCACTCCAGTACTTGTGCCAAGAAAATCCCAAATGGGGTCATAGGGAGTTGGACGTGACTGAAATAACTGAACAACAACAATAACAAAAAATAAATAACATTGAGAAACTTATGAGGTCTGATCAACGCAATGACCAGCCATGCTTTCCCAGATATACTCTGGTATAGGTAATGAAACATGCTACCCACCTCATGACAAAGAGGTAATGGACTCAAGTTACAGAATGAGATTAATTTTTGGACAAAGCCAAAGCGGGAATTTACTCTCCATATTTGTCACAACGGTTTTTTTCCTTCATGGGGGATGAGGGTGGAAAGAAGTAAGAATGGAGAAGAAAGCTAGGAATAATGCAGCCTTCCCCCAAAAGAAAGAAAGAAAAAGTGAGAGAGGGTCATTGAAACAGGTTTCTGAAATGTACAGAAAGGAACAGAGGGCAACCAGAAGAAATCACAGACAAGCAGGACAGCCTTGAAAGTAATATATTCTGTTTCTTATATACTAAAAAAGAAAGGCAAGTTACATATCATAGAGGTTCTCAGTTTCCTGTGCAAACCTCTCTTTCTGTTCTACTGTGATTAATGGAAGTGTTTATCTTATATTTAAGCTGAGAATAAAATAATGGGAAAAAAGACTAAAAGAGAAAGAATGCATATAGCTCAGATGGTGAGGTGCAGTTGGATGGATATCCATTGAATTAGTCTTGGACATTTTCTACAAATGGTCAATGTTCTGGGCCCAGAGTGAAAAATATCAGGCTGGATTGTATTTTCTGGAAACTGCATAGCATTTTCAATGATTCCAAGCTGTTCCCTGATGCTAAGCTCATATTTTAAGCAGCAATATTCTGGTAATACATTATGGTTATAAATCATGAAACACCATAATAGCAGAAAAATAAAAACTGCAGATGATTGGAAGGGCAACAGCAAGAAGCAGAGTGAGGTTTAAGGAGTTTAAGTGAGTTGAACACGAAAAGTGGCATATGTGTATGAAAATTAAAGGAAGCAGGCCAATCTGTAAAATAGGAGGATAACAGATAGACAGTCTGAGTACTGCACTGGTATCCACAAAATATTTTTAAAAGGTCAGAGCCCACCTTCCAGCACATTGGGTGGGTAAATACACTATAGACACTTAATAGGGAGGGAAAAGGCAATCATAACAACACAGGAGATGAGGATAAAGTATGATCCACAGCCATGGGCAAGTCATAGATCCACTGATGTCTATACAGCTTTCCCGGCTACACAAAATGCATCTGAACTTTCATAACAACTTTTACATACTTTTCCATTAAAAAAGTACCTGAGAGCCCAATTAATTTTCTTATAGATGACTAGCCAACAAGAACTGGTTATTTAAAGAGAAAAAAAATGGTAACCTTAGGATGAAGTCATCATTCCACTAAAAGTAGATCACAGGATTGCAGATTAAGAGCTTAAAGTGAATTTAGAAATCTCTAGTCTAGTAGGTGCTCAATAAATGCTAATTGAAAATTGGTTAAACTACTGAGATAATGATTGATGGAGTTAGGTCCATGTACAGCAGGTGTTCCAATTTAGTGTGAATCCCTTGGGAGTTCTTGAAGGTGATCCAAGAAGTTCATACTAAAAATTCCTTAAAGGCACCTTAAGCAGTAAATAATTATAGAGTGTTATGAGTAATATATTGGGCAACTTGGTGGCACAATGGATAGAGTGCCAGACCCAGAGTCAGGAAGACTCATTTTCCTGAGTTTAAATTTGGCCTCAGATACTTAAGCCTGAGTAAGTCACTTAACCCTGTTTGCCTCAGTTTACTCATTTGTAAAATGAGCTGCAGAAGTAAATGGCAAACCACTTTGCCATTTTTTTGCCAAGAAAACCCTAAATGGTGTCACGGAGAGTTGGACACAACTGAAAAACAACTGAACAACAATAACAAAAAGCAAGCTATGGTATATGTGTGTGTGATGGAATATTATTGTGTCATAAAGAATCAAATAAGAAGAATTCATAGAAACTTGGGAAGATGCGAAGAAAGAAAAACCAAAAGATCTGTACAAACAATGACTACAAAGGCATAAATAAAGTCAGCACTGAGAGGCAACAAAACTTAGGTCAAGCAAAACAAGCCATATTAGTAACAGAGTTAAAGGACAGAGCATTCTTTTCTTTTTTAACAACCCATAAACTGGTTTTGGGGAACATATTTTATAGTGGGCTTTGTCTGGGTACGGTTTGGGAACTAACTGCCAGCTCAAACCACAATATTTTAATAATTTTTTTGACTGGGTCCCCATATCTCACTTAGGCTGGAAGTTCTCTGGTTGCTCATAGGCCTGCCTTCACTGCTTATTAGCCCAGAAGCTTAAATCTGCTTGGTTTCTGAACTGGGCCAGATTGCCCCTCCATAAGGGCAGTGAGATGGCACAATGGATAGAGCTCTGGGCCTAGAGTCAGGAAAACCTGAGTTCAAATCTGATGTGTCCTAGTTGTGTGACCCTGGGCAAGTCACTTAACCTCTAACTATCAATTGTAAAATGGAGATAATGAGGGTCAAACGAGATAGTATTTGTAAAGCACTTAGCACAGTATCAGGAGCACAGCAGGCACTTAATAAATGCTTCCTTCCTTTCTTCATTCCTTCCTTGACTGCTTTCTTCCTTCTCCCTCCCTCCCTTCTCCTTCCTTCCTTCCTTTTTCCCTCCCTCCTTTCTTTCCTTCCTTCTCCCTTCCCTCCCATCCTCCTTTCTTTTTTCCTTCCTTCCTTTCTTTCTCCTTCTCTCCCTTCCTTCTTTCCTTGCCCTCCTCCTTCTTTCCTTCTCTTCCCTTCCCTTTCTCCCTCCTTCACTCTCTCTCCCTCCCTCCCTCCCATCCTCCTTCCCTTTCTCTGGTGCTAGACTTAGTGTTTTCACTCTGAATGTTAGCCCCACTGTAGCTCAACATTCCCAAGCTCAAGCATTCCATCAGACTTAGCTTCGCCCAGAAACAAGGATAATAAGCACACACTACTTGGTCTATAAATAACATTTTAAAAAAATAGGTAAATCATCTAACTCTCCAGATTGGGGAAAGAATCAATACCCCAGTTAAGTGTTGATTGGATGCTGGGTGACCATGCTCAGGCCCTGTCACACTCAAGGACTAAGACTTACCAGCTTCCATGAGGGTTTCCAGTCGCAGTGTTAGTGGGTTCTCTACCTTCTGCAAAGCCAGGGAGGATCTGGGGTCCTGTATTGCTTTTTCGGAGAAGATAACCCCTAAAAACTGAGAGCAAACAAACAGACATTTAAAGCTCCTGAGATATGAACTTGCTCTCTGGTAGCCATTTCCCCTTTTAATGTCCTTTCCCCACTGTTTTCCTCTTCTCCACCTTCAGTACCTTCTTTCCCAACACTAGATTCCCAGGTTCTTCATGCTGTTCCACAGCTTCCCTGGATCTCCCCTTGAGGTATCCCACCAAAATTTGCCAATCCCAATTCCCATTCTCTCAAGACTGAACTCTGTGCTAGGTCACAGGTAATTTATTGAAAAAAGTAATTTGTAATAATGGTTGATAATATCAGAAAGTAGACAGAGGATCATGGGCTGAAAATCAAGTCACTCAATAAATATTTATTAAGTACCTACTACGCCAGTCACCTAACTTTGCCTCAGAGTCCTCATCTGTAAAAATAAGCTGGAGAAGGAAATGGCAAAGAACTCCAAAAACAGAGTCATGAAGAGTGAGGACTGACACAAATGACCAACAACAGCTACATGCCAGGCATTGTGCTGAATGCAGGAGATATAAAGGAAGGTAAGAGACAATCCCTGCTCTCAAGGAGCTCACAGTTTAAAGAGGGAAACAGTATACAAATAACTATGTACAAACAAGCAATATACAATATCAACTGGAAAACATTCAGCAGAGGAAAGACACTAACTTTAAAGAGAGCTGGGAAAGGCTTCCTTTAGAAGGTGGGATTATAGCTGGGACTTGAATAAAGGCAAGGAAACAAAAGATGAGACAAGAGATGGGGAAGGAGAACATTCAAGACATGGAGGACAGCCGGGAAAAATGCCCAGTCAGGAAATGGGGTGTCTTGTTTGAGAAACAGCATGGAAGCCGGTGTCATAGGATAACAAAGTATGTTGGGGAGAGGGACTATAAGATGTAAGAATGAACCAATCCAAATAAACTATGAAGGAAGAAGACACTATCTGTATCCAAAGAAAGAACTGATAAATAGAAGTATGTATAGAATGATTTTAACAGATTTATATACATATATGCAATACATATATATGTGTATATATGTATATGTAAGTATTTGTGTCTAATAGTAGCCATCTCTAGGGCAGGGAGAGGGAAAATAGGGGAAAAAAAGAAATTTACGTAATTTTATTACGTATTTAAGAGGAATAGATTTGCAAAAAAAAAAGAATCAACTGATCAATCAATAAACATTTATTAGGCACCTACTATGTCTCAGACACTGTGCTCAGTGTTGGGGACACAAAGAATGGGTGAGGCAACGTGCAAATAAATAGATAAAAAGCAAGCTATATACTGGATAAATAGTAAATAATTAATAGAGGGAAGGCATTACAATTAAGAAGGTATGGGGAAGGCTTTCAGGAAAAAATGGGATTTTAGTTGGAAAGTTCAAAGGAAGAGAAGGAAGTGGGTAGTTAGGGTAGAAGAGAGAGAGCATTCCAGGTGTGGGGGACAGTCAGAAAAAAATTCCTGGACATGAGAGACAGAGCGTTTTGCTTGAGGAACAGCAGGAGGCCAGTGTCACCGGACCAAAGAGTATGGGATGGGTAGTGAGGAATAAGAAAACTGAAAAGGTAGGAGGGAGCTAGGCCATAAAGATCTTTGAATGCCAAATAGAGCATTCTGTATTTTATCCTGGAGGCAACAGAGAATCACTGGAGTTTATAGGGAGTAAGGGTGAGGAATGGTGACTTAATAGGACCTATGCGTAAGGAAAATCACTTTAGTGACTGAATAGAGGGTGGATTGGAGTAAAGAGATGATATAGGGAGATTCACCAGTAGGCTATTACAATAATATAGGCATGAAGCAATGAGGGCCTGCACCAGTATAGTGGCAGTGGCAGAAGAGAGACGGTGGTGTATTCGAGAAATGTTGCAAATATGAAAATCAAAAGGTCTTGGTAACAGATTGGATGTGAGGAGTAAGAGATAGTGATGGTCCAGGATGACTCCTAGTTTGTGAGCCTGAGGAAATGGAAGGATGGTGTTGCACTCTATAGAAATAGGGATGGTAGGAGGAAGGGAGAATTTTGGGGGAAAGATAGTAAGTTCTACTTTGGACATGTTGAGTTTAAGATGCCTACTAGACATCCAGTCTGAGATGTCTGAAAGGCAGCTGGAAATGAGTTACCAGAGATACCAGATACTCATCAAAGAGGTTAGGGCTGGATAAGTAAATCTAAAAATCATCAGCATAGAGATGATAATTGAATCCATGGGAGCTGATGAGATCACCAAGCGATGTAGTATAGAGGAAGAAGAGAAGAGGGACCAGGACAGAATCTTGAGGAACACTTCCAGTTCCTGATGAGACTGAGGTGCCTTTCTCTATGGTATCAGGAAGTGGTCAATATAAAGCAATGGGTAACCAGTACAGATAATTTGAAAGATCATTAACATGAAAGCCTTTGGAAATTGAGGGTGATTTTGTAAAGATGAGGGCAGTGGTTTGCATGGAATGTAGGAAAGGATAACCAGGGAGTTAGAATTTGTCAGAAATATAACACTAGGGGAGAGGGGCTCTGGTTCTAGATAAATCTTCCATCTTGATTCTTTGACAGAAATATCTCTAGAGCAGAGGAGGGAAATTCATCAGGCTAATTAGTTTAAAATATTATATTTTCTTCCTTAGTCTATAATATGGCTTCTGAGTGGATTTATCCATGAGAAAGAGATTACCCTGTGGAGATAACCAGTCCTGGTTCTTGGGCCAGATATATGTTATATTATAATTTAATATTTTAGTATTCTGGTTTAAAAGTCTGGTGATTTTGATAAGTGTAACTTAATTCCCTACAGCCTGATCCCCCTAAGTGAATTTATAAAATTAAGTTTCTAAACTGACAAATCTGTAGACAAGACACTGGACCATGGTGACCTCATCAACATCAGATTGGCACAGCCAATCCACCCATCATATTATACCTACAACATTAGAACAGGATCTTTCTGGAGACATAATAGCTTAATCCAAAGGACCTTAATAATGGAAATTCCAAGCAATGCAGCGGGTAAGAGACATTCTTTGGTAGCTGAGTTTTCCAGGGCCCCTCAGGTCATGCTACAGAGACATCTACTTTTTTGTCTATATAAGAGAGGCCCTGTTAGAGTCACATCCTATAGAAACTCAAAGGCACTGTGATGAAGATTGCTCAGTTTGAAATCAGAAGGATGGAGTCTGAATCTTTCTCCCACTATTTATTACCTGTGTGACCTTGGGGAAAGTTATTTAACATTTCTGGGACTTGGTTTCCTCATTGCAAATATTGGGGTTGGATTAAAGGACTTCTAGAATATAAATCACTGAGCAGCTGGGTAGAGTGGAAAGAGTGCCAGGTCTGGAGTCAGGAAGATTCTTCTTCCTGAGTTCAAATCCATCCTCAGACACTTACCAGCTGTGTGACCCTGGGCAAGTCACTTAACCCTGTTTGCCTCAATTCCTCATCTGGAAAATGAGCTGGAGAAGAAAACGGCAAACCACTCCAGTATCTTTGCCAAGAAAATCCCAAAAGGGGCCAGGAAGAGTCAGAAATGACTCAACAACAACAACAACAACAACAACAAAGTTATTAAACCTATTAGCCTATTAAATTTCGATTCTGAGGATTCTTTCCTTATCAATCCCAGTTATAAAATTTTCAAAAGGGGGATGGTCCCTATAGTTCTTCTATCATTTTCCTCTTTCATAACTACCCTGAGTACTTTGGAATTCTCCAAAGAGACACCTCTACTTTCTGCATCTCTAAGTTATAATAATGGAATATTAAAGCTAGAAGAGACTTTAGGAATTTTTCTAGTTCAGCTTCTCTCATCTTAAAAACCAGAAAACTGAGTTCAAAAGAGATGAAGTGACCCTTTAAAAAAATGATTGTTTTGAACTCTGAGTGCAGATTGAAGCATACTTTTTCACTTTATTTTTCTCGGGGTTTTTTTGGTGGTGTTTTCTTTTGTAACATGGCTAATATGGAAATATGTTTTGCATGACTTCACATGTATAATCGACATCACATTATTTGCCTTCTCAAGGGGCTGGAGGGTGGAAGAGAATTTGGATCTGAAAAATTTTTAAAGTGAACACTAAAATTTTTTAAAATGTAATTGGGAAATATTTAAGAAAATAAGTAGGTATCTATATCTATATCTATATCTATATCTATATCTATATCTATATCTATCTATCTATATTAAATAAATTATTGTCTTGGCAATCCAACTGCTTTATCATAAAGATCTAAGAGGTTCTTTTGCCCTAGCAAAGCACTGTATTTATATTGACTGATACTGCAATGAAGGATCATACAATCAAGGCCCTAAAGCTAGAATGGGCATCAGTGGCAATTTGGTTCAACTCTCTCATTTTACAGAGGAGGAGGTCATAGCACTGGAGTTGAAATGACTTACTGTTGGTCATACAGGTGTTAAAAGTCCTAGGTCAGACCAGGTCCTCTGGCTCAAGAGTCAGTGCCCTTTTCCACCAAGCAATTCATCCCCAAACCAAAAACAATTTCTTTGCTTCACTACTCTTCCTTTCCTCTCCACCCCACTCCCACCAGGGCCAGGAAACACCATCTTTCCTACTCCCATCAATAACAACCTACAGAATTTTCATTGTTCACTGGAGTGGCAACAAAGTATAATGGAAGATGCATGGTGCTCAGAGGTGGAGACTTGAGTATTCTAATAATCCACTACCTGTGTGACACTGGGCAATTTACTTCCCCTTCTGGGCATCGGCTTCTTCAGCTTTAAGGAAGAAAAGGCAGGGAGAGATCTTATACTAGTGACTCCTTTTGTAGTCTTCATTCTCTTGGCCTCAGTTGATAGCACCATGAGCTACTGCAATGTATATCTCACAATTAAGGCATAATGAATGACATTTTTCATATAGAGCTTTGATGGAAAACTTTTGCTAATACCTTTTAGGGGGTTCCCATTATTTAAAGAGGCAACAACAGCTCATTAACAGACTTGTTAAAAAGATGAATACTTTTAAAGCTCCAGGAAGA